ACTATTTCCCTGGAATGCTTGCCTCCGCACACGATGAAATAAATAAATACATGGTATATTTAAGGTCCGAGGGACGAGCTCGCTAATTAACAGACGCTCTACTGAAGCTTGACCATGCCCAGACTTGGCCTCAGCTTATTCAAGGTCACGCTGGCAGACAAGGCCATCTTACGCGCATAGGCCAGTCTGCCTTGTCCTTTATGTTTATGTCCCCCAGACGGATGCATTTATCTCACGCAAGCAAACAGTCCATTCACGGAAACTTGCCTTGTAGGCTAATAACTCGCTTATAATATCTGACTGCTTTCTTTCATCAAACGGAATACTCTTAGTTTAGTGGTTATAGTAGATCGCACATCCTTGACCGCTACAAGCTCTCTCATTTGCCGTTAGTTAACCCCTGCAACAAAGAAGATGGCAAAAAATGAGGAATATCGTAAATTTCAGGACGAATGGGCCGAAGAATTCGCGTTTCTGGAGAAAGCAGGTTATGTGGTGTGTCTAATTTGCAATGACGAGATTACATCGATGAAACAGTCGAATATGAAGCGCCACTTCAACACACCCCATGATACCTTTGCATCAAAATACCCTACGCGAGATAGCAGAAAGAAAGCAGGCCGAGAGCTATTGAGCAGGGTGTAAGCCAGCCAGCAGAAACTCCGCGTATGGACCCAGCAAGATGACTATAACTCCGCTAGCTTTGCTAGATCTTTGGCAATAGTGAGGAATGGAAAACCATTCACAGATGGCGAGTATGCTAAAACGTTTATGCTAGACGTAGCCAATAAACTTTTTGATGGTCTTCCAAACAAAGACAAGATAATCAAACGAATAAAAGACATGCATCTTTCGGCAAAAACCGCTCACAAGCATACCGTCATTATGGCAACCCACGTGGAGGAAATGCAAGTGAAAGACATGAATGCAGCGCCGCTCTTTTCCCTGGTTTTGGATGAGTCAACAGACGTAAGCCATTTGGCGCAATTCAGTATGATTGCAAGATATGCTGCCGATGATACATTGCGCGAAGAAAGTCTTGCTGTTCTACCAATAAAAAGGTCCACAAGAGGTGAGGATTTATTCAAGTCTTTCATGGAGTTCGCTGAAGGAGAAAAAACTACCTACGGATAAACTTATCTCAGTGTGTACTGATGGTGCTCCGTGTATGGCGGGAAAAAACGAAGGATTTGTGGCGCTTCTCTGTGAACATGCAAATAAACCCATCCTACCTTTCCTTTGTATTCTACACCAGGAGACACTTTGTGCTCAGATGTGTGACGGGCAGCTTGGTGGAGTGATGTCGCTGGTCATTCGTATGATCAACTTCATTATTGCCCGAACCTTAAATGGTCGACAATTTAAGACACTGCTGGATGAATTTGAAAATGACTATTACGGTCTGCTTTTGCGCAGCAATGTACGTTGATCGACAAAAGGAAAAGTGCTTAGCCGTTTTGCGGCTTGCCTGAACGGAACCCGGACTTGCCTTAAAATGGAGGGCATTGAACATCCTGAGCTAGCCAGAACTGAGTGCTTCCTCATACTTTACTATCTCGTGGATATGGCGGAACATCTGAACCAGCTCAACGTTAAAATGCAAGGCAGTGGAAATACAGTGTTATCCCTTCAGCAAACCGTGTTCGCTTTTGAAAACAAGCTGGAGCTCTATATCATGGATCTCGCAACACGTCATTTACTACATTTTGAAAAACGAAGACAATATAAAGATGCATGCACAGTAAACAAGCCCACTCAAAACTGTGATCTCCGTCAGGTAGCTGGCTTCACATCCAGTCTCAGGTAGGATTGTGTTATGGGGTCGTGTGAGTGCGCGCGAAGCGCGCCCAACT